AATTTTTTTTTGAAAAATATATTTTTTGCAAAATTTTTCTCTTTTTTAGAAGTTTTTTCAAAATTTCAATTTATAATTTTTTTCATTATCAAAATTTTTTCAAAAATTAAATTTCTCATATACCATAGATAACACAGTGTTTTTTTTTCGGCTTCAACGTGAAGTATTGTTTGTTTTGCTGAAAACGGGTTTGTAAGCTATGCAATTTTCCACAGTTTTCCAGGTAGCACAGAGAAAGAAAATACCACTCTAAAATTAATCACCCTAATTTATGTACATACATATGCCTATTGCTAATAGCTGTCATGAAGTTCATTCGAACATATTTAATTAGGTTATGTGATGACAATTGGCAATTAGCTGCTGCTTTGTTTATTGAAGTGCTCAGTTGACATGAATGAGTGAACTTCCGCACAGGTAATTGTGAAGCCACTGTGCTCATAAAACTTTATAGCCCTCAGTTTATGGGGCAATATATACGCCTACAGCTCAGCTAGGCACAGCAACGCTTCAAGTTACAAATTTTTTAATGTTGTCAATGAAATTGAGTTAAATATACAGTTACTTACTTATTGGACGAAGCTTCTTGCAGTACGATATCCCTTAATATTTGAACAAACCTCATATAGCACTAAAAACCTCTCTTAATACTTGATCAGTCCTCATAGAGTTTACATAAAGCTTATATAAATATAAAGAGCTTCAACCAAAGTTAACCAGATTAGCGATTTTTTTTTAAATTTTGTCTGGTCTTCACAACCAACTTGCATATAAATACGACAGTTGGATTGAATATACTCCATATAGCCATTATTTTGGTTTGAAACCAAATACGGTACGGTTATAACTTTTGTATCAAATAGAAACCGATTTATTTGAAGTATTTTTTTATTCATAACTTTCATTTGAGTACATAGGAAGAAAAAGCTATAACTTGCCATCAGTGAGAAAATATGTTAAAATATATAAAGAAATACAACATATATTTTAGAAGTATGTAAATAAATACTTTATATGTCTACATTTTTCTTCCTTACTAGGAAACGCTTCTTGTTGTTGTTGTGGGAGTTTCTATTAACTACGAATTATACATTTTGGCCTCCGGGGCAGTGAAGAGTCAATGTACATAGTTTTGCTATATATATATATAAGTATAACTTTGTGTATGAATGCGCCTACACTTACATCGAGTATCCCTATTCCTACTCATGAAATAGATAAATTGAATTTTTTCATCACTATCGTCTGTCACAATTGCCAACAACAAGAAAAACGCCTAGGGAGTGCTATTATCATACGTACCTACACATGTATGTATGTGTATACAGAAAATAGTTTCCTTGCTTAGCTTTAATGCAGCAGTAAAATTCTGGCAGATACAAATTATTTGGTTAGAGCCTCCGCCACATGCGGAATAATAATAAAAATTGGATTAGTAGTACTTCAGCAATTTTTCGCCAGCAGCTTCTTTACACCCGAAGCCTGTGGTTTTTGCTAGCACATATTTTATACTTTTCTATGTATGTACGTTTGCATGCTGGTGGGCATACTCCCCAACCTCTGTTGTTGGAGTTTCAAAAATAGGCTTTGCAGAAATGTTTTCACGCTAAAAGTGTCACTTTAGAAATATCAACATTTTCTCTGCGGCCAAGTGTTGCGCATTTTATTGGCCTTACGTCGGCAGTCTGCGCTGGAGATATTGGAAATTGAATAACCAATATTTGGCTTTTGCCCGTAGGTGTCTTTTAACATGGAACTAAATACACTTGACTTTTTGGGGTCAAAATGATAATAGCGAACTCTTAGCTCATATTTGCTTTAGTGATAGTGGAAATAAAATACACAATTATGTATGTACTATACATATGTGTGGCATACAGTTGGGTTTTTAAGCATATGCAAAGATTTTGAAATATGCATTTGGTATTGAAGTTGTGTTCTAATTTTTCCGAGATAAATATTTCAATGCAATGTTTATGTATGTTAATATCATATGAACTGATATACCCTTATCACGATATGTTAAGTTTGTTCCAAAGTTTGTAACAATCAGAAGGAAGTAAAGGAAGGAGGGAAGGAAGTCTTTAGAAATTATTTATGTACTACATTATAGCAGTGCGATAGTCGTTCTTTCTTTTCGCTGTTTGATGCTAATCGGATATTTTATGTGAGGCCAGGTCCTTCTTCCTTTTTCTCTGTTTCCCCCGGCAGGTACTGTGTCGAATATTTTCAGAGCTAAATCCATATGGACGACATGACCTAGCCAGCGTAGCCGCTGTCTCTTAATTCGCTGTACTATGTCAATGTCGTCGTATAACAGCCCATCGTTCCATCGATTCCGATATTCGCCGCAGGACGAGGATGATCAGTGACTTATAGAGTTTGGTCTTTGTTCGGCTAATACTTCTACCTATTTAGTCCGAATACCGAACCTGTTTGCAAGAATTATTCTGCATTTGATTTCGAAGCTTATATAGTGGTTGATGTTAATGTTGTTTCTAAGATAGTCGAAATTTTCTTCGACTTCGAAGTTATGATTGTCAAGAGTGACGTGAGAAAACGAAAAACCACGAGTGCGACGACTGTGTGATTTATGACAGGAGATATTTCGTCTTTCCCTCGTTCACTACCAGACTCATAGTGCTTCACTTCTTTGTCCAACCTTGAGGAGGCATAATTAATGGTACGATTGTTATGGCCAATGATATCGATGTCATCGGTGTACGCCAGCAGTTGTACACTATTGTAGAAGATTTCACCTTCTATACTCAGATCTGCAGCTCGAATTATTTTCTCCAGAATGAACCGCCCGGCAAGGTCTTCCCGATCATGACGGAGCTTTTAGTGGAGGATGGAGCCAAGTTTAGAGATGATGGTGCCATGTGTAGAATTTCCCGCGAGTAAGGAAAGTTCTCTGAACGCTATTCACTTGGGAGTGGCCAGAAATTATTATTTTACATATGGCTCAAGCAGCTTACGACTTTCGGTCTTAGACCAAGTATTCGCTGGGTAGTGAAACAACATCAGCTTGAAGGTGAGCTAAAGTGAGAGGGCGAACCATCCCTTACCAGGGTTGAGCGCTGGGTTTGGGACACGCCTCGTAAAAAACACCCCTAATGAAAGGTACTACATAGTATGTATATAAAGGATCAGCGGAATAAGCTCAGTCGATATATTTATAGTCGAACTATTCCCTCAGTCCCATCTGCAATTTTGTACATCTCCTTTTTTTACCAAAGATGCTGCTCAGTTGCCAGAATCCTCGTTATCGAACCACTATAGCATATAGTTGCCATACAAACTGACCGTTCAAAATCGAGTTCTTTTAAGATAACTTTTTTGTTCGACGAGACATCTTCAGGCAATTTGGTACAGATTGTTATCCAAGACAACGCTACAATACTCAAACAAATTATTCGGATCGGACCACTACAGCATATAGCTGCCAAACTGAGGGATCAAAATCAATATAGAGATTTTTTGTACAATTTAAAGCTCTAAAAAATGCAATTGCGAGAAGTGTCTCGGTGCCACCGAAATCATTTTTTATATATATACATTTTTTATATAATACCACAGTTTTATATTCCAAAAATATTTAAAAATAATTTGCCATTTTACTCTCTAGCGCCTCCACCAAATTTCAATATAAAAAGTAAACATCACACCCATTCATAAATAACTCAGCCTTACGTGCTAGTCTGCATGAGCGCGACCAGCATGCGATTGCGTCAGAACTCATTCAAATTGGCACTTGCGCCCGTAACCAACCAAATCACAAGTAATTGCAACAGCAATCGCATGCCAATCCATTGATAATTACAATAACGCAAACACAGCGGCATGACTTTGTGGTAATTATTGCCTGAGTGTGCGCATGTACATATATACACTAAAATATGTGTATATGAGTAATCGCTATGCCACTTATCGCACTTGAGTTGTTGCGTATACGCCACCGGTGATTAAAATTTGCAATTGACACAGCGCCGACGGTGACGAAATGCGATGCCCGTGGCGGTGGTGTTGCGCGAGCAAAACGCCCACAGTGCTGCTAACGTACCCTAAGGCAAAACACGCACGTGGCGACAGACATATCCATTGGCGCATGTTCATTTATGGCCAAGGCAAAGTCACGTATGAAATGTATAACATACCTACATATTTGCATGTGCGGATTAGTGCATGTGGCGCTGCATATTGTTAGGCGTTTATGCGCGCTTTACTGGTTATATTAGTTAGTAAGTGTTATATTTTTCACGTCTCATATTGACACAGTGATTAAAATGTTTATCAAATGTCAATTAAGTGCAACACTTACTCTACGCACATCATGTTGCTTATCATTTTCCGTACGGTTTTCCAATAAACGCGTATTTTAGCTGAAAAACAAAGGTAAACGCACTTAGTGATATTTCGCAAATTTAGTCCAAAACAACTTTATTTGCCATTATTCTCTTTAACTGGTTATGAGTTGAATTAATCAGTTTTACATTTTGTTATAAGAGTTTGCCACGCGGGTAACTAAGTGCACAACATACATGATCTTTGCTTTAAGAATTTTGTTTTCGAAAACATAATTAAAACAAAAAAAAAAAAAAAATACACAGGCGTATATCTTTCCTAAGCTAACCATAGAAAATGTTGGTAAGTAATTTAGTTTCCTATTATCAAAGGCAGCCAGCCAGTACCTGCAGTACTTATCACCTACTACTCACTGCTGCTAACGTGCCTGCATTTCATCATTTACAACTACCAAAAATTTAGCGTGTGTGCGTGTTTTCGCAAAATATTTGTGTGTTTGCAGCTTAGTGCATTCTCCGTCTGCAATTTTCATCTATTAGAAATTGTTATCTATGGGTTCCTCCTCCTCCTCTTCCTCGTAGACCGGTTGCTCTTCCTCTTCCACCATTTCTTCCTCTACGACTTCTTCCTCTACACGTTCGCCAATTATTATCTCCTCGGCCAGTTGATATAGTTCACGCATATCCTGTTGATTAAGCGAAAGTAAATGCATAATTCTTTTGTTGTTGCTGCTGTATTAGTTTTTGCTCACCGATGCTTTCTGCAGCATAAGTATCTTATCATCGTGATAGCGTAACTGCTCAAATTGCGCTTTGGAAATGAGATAACCACGCTCCACATCATACTCCATTTCTTCTTCCAGCTCGGCTGCATGGCGCCGCTTCGATTCGCTTATGGTGCTGCCCTGTTCGTAGATCTCCGATTCGGTGGAAACATCGGAGGCATCATCCAAGTATTTGCGTCGTTGTCGCTCTTCCTTCTCACGCTCAGACATCTCTTTGGCCGCCTCTTTGCTTATAGCCGGCTCGAAGATGCCTTCGGTTTCGGCTTGTATGATATCCTGTACATGCTTTTGTATGACGGCCTGCAGACAAAAGCGGTTGTAATGTAGTTGCCTATAATCCAAACTGCGTATAATCTGCCTGTAATGTTATACTCACCGTCTTCTCCACCAGCTCCTTGGTGAGTTTAATGTCTTTAGCAACTGGTTTTGGTTTGGCGCCCTCCTCTAATTCTTTGCAAATACGTTGTTCGGCTTCGCGGAACTTTTTCCTTGAAATAAATAATTTAAAGAGATATTTACTAAAATTTGTCAAATTGTTATCTTTAGATTGACTAAAGTTCGGTGTAGAGTTTAGAGACTTTTTCAAATTGCATGCAATATATTTCAGAACAAGTTTTTTTTATCAAACGACAGATATTTTCTGTTACAAATAATGTTTAGCGCGCTACATTTGTTTGTAGACTTTAAGCCAAACTTAAGTAAAGGTTTTTTTTTTTAATTTTTTATAAAAAAAAAGTCAAAAGACTCAAAATTCAAACAATGAAAAGAAGTCTAAATAGGCATAATATCAATACCAAGTTAAATAATGGAAAACTGTATAGTACTTCAAGTAGTAGAAGTAAACAACATGAAGAACAAAAGGTACAAATCTCATATAATTCCATAAAATTTTCATATTATGCTTGCGCTTGCCAACTACAACAAAATCACTTACCTGGCACGCACAATATTTAATATATCCAATTTATCCGATGTGAATGGTGTCGGCACGCGCATTGAGCGCTCCTTCATTTTGGCGCGCTCCTCCTCCAGGAAGCGCTTGAGGTCCTGTTCACACTCGCGCCACTCCTCGTTGTCGATGCTGTAGCAATGGAAAAGTATTATAAGATGAAATAAATTATTGAATAGTTCATTGAACCAACTATCAAAGTAGGTGAAACATATTCACTGTTGAACTGTTATTTCCAGAGCTTTCATGCAGTTGCACGTGCTATTTATATACTTTTATATTTAGTGGATAAGTCGCCTAGTCTTCCATTATATTTTATTCAAAGCTTGGATATAATTAGAATTATAGCCAGCAGCAAGCAAGCTTCACGTTTACGCATTTAATCGACGGGCATTTCTCCCAAAGGCGAATAGTCGGTGTATGGTATATATGTATGTATGTAGGTGTGGTAGTGTATATTTTTGGTGCTTAAAATAGGAGTGAATGCACTTTAAATTCCAACGTCAATTCCCGCCAAGTAATTAAAAACGCTAAGTTCGAAAATTCAGATTCTGAGAGTCAGCGCGGAAAATGACACGAAAAAATGTGCTGCTGGGCGTTGTAGTGGATTATGAGCAGCATATACACATATGTATATATTTTTATAGACATGCTCTCGCAGTTATTCTGCGTAATTTTGCTTTAAAATGATTTCAATGTTAACGATATAACAGCTTGGCGCGTTAACCCTTAGCAAAAAAAAGATTGTGCATAGAATGTTGCCACAACAATACACTCTATTTATAATCAGCAGAAGTGTATATAATAAATTAGCCATTATTCGTATCGTATCATTTGACTGCTTGCCATTTTAGCCTGCAACTGAGCAATTTTTCAATTAACGCTTACAAGTTGCCTTACCGCAGTAAATCCATGCCACGTTCCGCATCTTCGGCCTTGTACTGTTCTTCGAGCTCATTTTGCTGCTTATTGCGCTCTTTTATCTTCTCAACGCGCATTTGTTCTTCCTCCACATACTTTTGTCTTTCGCGTTCCCATTTCGAGCCTTGCGCCTTTAAGCGTTCCGCATTGCGTTCACGATTGGTTTTGAGCTGAAAATTAGCGCGAGTTTTATGTTTTATTTTATTGACATGAGACATTTAAAATATGTGCAATATGTTTGAGGCTATTTGTGATTCACCTTGGCTCGCTCCTTTTGGATTTCTTTATTCGCAATTTTATTGACAACAAATATGGGATCATCGGCCAGTTCGGCAGGTATTTCGTCCGTTTTGCCTTCGATGATTAGGAGACGTTCACGTTCCACCTCACGGAGCTGGTTGTTATGAAAAGTACAAACAATTGTGTTTATTGTGCAACATTTGATGGCATAGATTTGAAAAAATATTGATACAATGGTATAAGATATATATTTAAAGGTCTTATTTTATATGACGGTGGGCTTAATGGAAGAAAATTGCATGGCTTTGAGAAAGAGCTGTCTTACAGTAGAGACGTATTAAAGTTATACAGATTTACCAGCGTTTCAGTCATAATTAATAAATAATAATGTAGTCAACTAGCAAAGTTATATAAAATAATTATTAATGTGCTTAATTGAAATCGATTAATTAATTAAGCTGCTATCTGAACGCCTGTCATTTCATTATACAACTATAGTCAATTAAGGTGTTATTCTAGTCTACAAATCAAATTTTGGGCAGTTCTTTGAATTTTATAAAAAAGAATGAAAAAATATTTTTACTATCCATTTTTTTATTGTGTTTTTAGTGATATCTTAAGAATACAGAAAAAAAATTTACAAAAAAATATTAAAAATTAAAATAATTAGAGGGGGGTTAAAGAAATCAAAAGAAATTCTTAATCAGTAAGGATGCTGTTATAGTCCCTACCTCAGGGAACAAGAAAAAACTTTTTTTTTGAAAAATGGCGACTGCCTGAAAATAAAAATCATTTTTTATGCTTTTTTTTTGAAATTCCTGAATTTTTTTTAAAATATTTAAAAAAAAATTTTGCCACAATGCTGGTAGGAACGATAAAGGATTATATAAAGAAGGTTCACACAAAATTTCAAGTAAATCGGTTGTATAGAACTTGAGATAATGCCGGCACCGTTTGGAAAAAGTAGTTTCGAGAGAAACGCGTTTAAAACAATGAGTAAAATTTAAGGCAGTTTAAGTCATTTATTAGTGCGCTAGGTACTGCGTCATTAAAGTAACTGTAGCTCTTAAAATAATTTTAATTTTTAAAAAGCTTTTGGAGGATATGTTCTCAAGGGTCTAAACTCTAGAGAACTGTGTCCATTAAGTTCTTTCAGTTTCATATATTTTGGAAAATCGTTTTCCAGCCCAAGTTCACGAAATCACACGTCCTTGAATCGAGTAAATGAACTAATTCTCCATACTTTTCACAAATTCTAGAGAATTCTACATATACCAGACTATCTACGTCTATATATAGTTATGACCACGAGAATAATTTGCCTGTAATCACGAGCGCACCAATATGGCAGTTATTTTATTTGCATGACATCATTTCATATAACTGTCAAGCTGTCAGTTCACTGAAGCCACAAAAACATTATACAACAACAATTCAAAATTTCCAAATAACACTTATTAGATAATATACTACAACCCAATATTGCGGTAATTACCATTTAGTGATTTGACAGCTTTAATCTGACAATAAGGCCGCTTTAATATTGAAGGAAATATATTATTCAAATATATTGATATACAAGTTTGTATTGATCCAACTTTTCGAGTTTGGTAAATTCAAAAAATGCTTTTTGCAATGGCGTCCATGTCTGTTTATGGATTGGTGTAAAACTTTGTCAGTGTGTTCAGTAAGGTTCCTCATGTCATCTTATCACGTTTTAATTTGGTACAAAGCTTGAAAATTCTCCAAGACTCTCGGCTGCCTACTGTAAGAACTTTTCGCGCAAAATGCGGTGATTATAATGTTTTTTTCTGAGCGCGCTCTTCAACGTATAATTTCAAAATTTCACCATAGTTAGCAACCATCCCATCAAAAAAAAAGTGAGGCCGATCCGAATCAATCGGTTCAATGTCTTTCTGCGCATTTGGGTCTCTCTCCGATGACCACTTGACGAATTTTGTGGTTGGATTTGGCTCTGCATCCATATAAGATTTTGTTGGCGAAAGAACTGAAGCTAACAGACCATTTCAAGTGCTGTAGCTTAGACAATTGGGTGCTGGAAATGATGGAAGCCAACTATGATTTTCATCGAGATGAGGCCCATTTCTGGCTTAAAGTCAAACCCTCGTGTAATTCGGGAAACGCAATTGTATCCCCAAAAATTAACCACTTTGTACAGATTGAAGTATGGCAGCATTATCGCGTGCTTTCTGAACTATATCCAGCGAAGCAACTGAAGTACTATCTAGTATGCCGCCCATAGACATTCAGGGAAACGAATTCACTAGATTATATAAGCTATTCAGCACAAATTACAGAAATCAAAGAAATAGAGGAGAGAAAGAAGAGCATAATTATATGAAAGTAACGGTGGCAAACCTTAATCAATGGAGGAATGGAGGAACCACAGACTTATATCTGATATCATATGTGGATAACTAGACAACATGGTAATTTCCACCTGACCCAAATATTAAGCGGGCACGGGTGCTTTAGGGGCTATCTATACGAATTTCAAAATGTCTTCAGTCCGTGTTATTCGAAGTGTATGGACTCCATAGAAGATTCTGAACATGGGGTTTTCCATTGCCTTCGGTTTCTAAACGTAAGGGAAAAGTTAGGAACTGCACTAGATGGTAGTTTAACGGTGGATAATTTGACTTTGCAATCCTCTGACAATTGGAAAGCTGTTCGGAAAGCGGCAATCTCCATCATGACTAAATGAAGACAGTTACAGCAGAATAGGCGTCAGTACGCTTTCTGCATCGGGTCCTCGAACATTATCGTAAATGTGTGAAGATATGCAAATGGGACCGTGATGGCTATTTGGCCGACATTTTGTGGTCCATGTGGAAGGCGCAATTTGGAAGAACCACTTGTACTTACAACAGTTTGTGTTGTAAATAATAACTTCGAAAATTGCTAAAACTTGTGCACTTCGAACTTCAGAATCGCACTTTGACTTGCTGCCACTACAAGTAAACACTATTTTTACATGTCATGTCAAAGCTACATTTAAATCAATTGAGTGAGAATCGGGAGCGCCAAATCTAGCGGCTGAAATTGCTTCAATGAGCCATAGCACAAAAAGTTGGCAGCAAAAGTTTCGTCGAAAATATGCCTAACATTAAGTCTTGTAATCGCTAACATTTACAATACGAAGGCATAATTGCTTGCCGGTGTAAAAGGTCAAAGTGAGTAAATGGCTCACATTTGTAAGATTTGTTGATCTAAATTAAAATTAATTGTCTGAACTTGAGTTGAGCGCTGGAGACTAAAAAATTTAATTATCCGCGAAATTTTATTTTATTTCAACTCACCGCTCTGGCGTTTATGCGACGCTCCAGCTGTATGCGGCTTTCCTCTTCCAGTCGCTGTCGCAGCTCACTCATGAATTTGTGATCGGTTAGACGCACCACATTGGTGCCAATTAAACGCTCCAAGGCAGCACTTATGCGCGGTAAATTGAAACTAAAAAGAAAGTAGTTAAGAGTTATAGAAAAATGGAAATTATAACAAAATAGAGTTTAAAATTGTGGCAAAGGATATTCAATTTTTAACAAAAAAATATTAGAATTTGTAGAAATGCCTGTTAGTTTAATTTTTATATAACAATTTCTTCCAAAATTGTATTTTTTAGCGGCACTTACTCGCTGCTCTCTTCCTTCGCAGCAACTACTTCGATTTTGTTCATAATATGTTCGTCAGCACTGCACGACTGTGTTCACATTGCAACTGTTTACGTGCCACCGTTTTCGCAAATTTCTGTTAGCTGTTGTCATGTTATGGAAACACCAAATAAATAAATAAACAAAAAATCAAAAAAAAAAAAAAATAAAATAAAAATGAAATGCTTTGCCAAAATTCGCCTGTCGCTGGCTTCGGGTTACCCCCAAAAACGTTACAAAGACTTTTTACTTTATGTGAATTTTCCGTGAATGTGCAAACTTTTGCACACATTATTGCAGCTATATACACACATATCGACAAGGTTTCATAAGTCAATATATGTGGATATGTTCACAATAAATAACCCGGAAGTATTTTCGTGAAATTTGGAAAGATTGTGGATAAGAAATGTAGACGCCTAAGTCTAATTGTGAATTAGATACAAATCGACGAAATCACGTGAAATATAAATATTTATACGAAATTAGTAGCAGAAATACCCTCCGCAATTAAACCAGTTTCTATATAAGAAATTGATTTTGTGCGGTCGGTTTGTATGGCAGCTATATGCTATATTAGTCCGATCAGAACCATTTTTTCGGAGTTTGTATCGTTGCTTGAGAAAATAAATTATATCGAGTTTTGGAAGATACCTCGCAAAATTAAAAAGTTTTCCATACAAGGACTTGATTCTGCTCATTCAGTTTGTATGGCAGCTATATGCTATTGTTATCCGATCTAAAAAATTTCTTGGGAGGTTGTATAGTTGCTATGGAAAATAAACCATGACAAATTTCGAGAAAATACCTCTTAAACTAAAAAAGCTTCCCATACAAGGACTTGATTTCGATCGTTCAGTTTGTACGGTAGTTATATGCTATAGTGGTCCGATAACAGCGTTTCCGACAAATGAGGGGGAGAAAAGAAGGTATCCAAAATTTCGCATTGATATCTTATAAAGTGATGAGCCATCATATGACGTTTGTTGGAAACCTCTGCTTGAGCCTTTTAACAAATTCAAATCCAACCCATTTAATTAACAACATTTTTCTGTAAAATTTATGTGCGTCGAGATTTAATTTTAATCTCAGTTCTTCATAAGTTAAGTGCTAAGCCGCTTCATACTAAATATCAAAACTTCCCACGCCGAGTGTTTATATGGTTTATTTAGGTTTAATTCCCGCACATTTGCCGCCTACTGGTTTCTTAAACATTAGCCTGCTGTTACTTTCGCAATCCTTTATTTGCGCCATTAATATTAGGATTTAAGCACCACAAAGTGACAACACAACTTAACAACGAATGACTAAAAGTCATGCCACAAATGTGTAGATACCACAAATGTTTTGCCACAGCGAAAATCGCGTGGGGCTTTCGACATTTGTCTCATGTGGACACATGTGTTTTTGTTTGTTTTATGCTTTTTGTTGAAAATCGTAAAATTCTAGTTTAGATTTTGTGGAAATGGGGACACTTTCGCTTTTATTACAATACTTAAAAGTATAAAGTGAAGAGTGGTTCGAGTTTCTCACGTTAGTAGTTATACAATATAAAGATCGTCATTTCAAGTTTGGTTTTTTATAACGTTTGGTAAGCTTGCGCTTCGTGTATGTAATAATGGTACATTTCTTATTTTTTATGGTATTTAAGAACATTTGTTTTAAACTGTAACTATTGGGTAATATACACATTAATATTGTGTCTATTTTAAACAAAATATTACTTAGAAATTGTCTAAGATAGCTTTTTTTTGAAACATTTAGTTAGGTATTTTTTGCATTTACAGTCCGATCTGAAAAATTTATTAGGAAATTGTAGCGTAGTCAGAGATATTAATCTCTGTTAAATTTCTAGAAGATACCTTTTCTTATAAAAAAATTTTTCCATACAAGAACTTGATTCCCCGTGTTCAGTTTGCATTTTATATATGCTATTGTTTTCCTATATCGGCGATTTCGCCAAATGAGCAACATTTTGGTGAGTAATGGACTCATTCTAAATTTCTGACCGATATCCCCAAAACTGAAACATTAGTTCGCATATATACAGACAGACAGACATATGGACATAGCTAAATCGGCTGAGCTCGTTACGAAGATAATTTATACTTTACATATATATACTTTGTAGGGCTTCCGACGTTTCCTTTTGCCACAATGTCTGGCAAATTACAACAGGTTAATTAACCAATCCCCTAAATCTATAAGATTTATAGTTACCTGACTTTCAAAACACGCGTGTATCTATTTGAGAGTTGTCGAATCATTATGAATTATATCCTTTTGAATGAAGTGTTACTAAAATATTGCTTTTTGAAGGGTAAAAATATAGTTGACACAAACACTTGGCTTGATGACGACTTTCCGGACGCTGCCCAGGAAAAACAACCATCAGTATGCTAACATTAGACGTTATGAAATTAGCACCGAAAACGATGAAAGCATTGGACGCACAAAAGAAGTTGTTACTGACGAAAGCATCAAAAATATCCACAAAAGGCAGAAGATTGGTTATGCACATGGCCTAAGTTTGGTTGACCACCTTGAAAATGGAAGGTGAATCAACAGCGACTTTTACATACCGTTATTGAACTGTTAGAAGGAAGAAATCGCTGAAAATCGGTCGTATGTAAAGCAAAAGAAAGTGCTGTTTCACCAAGTCAATGAAGGAGGTCACGAGTCAGTGAAAACGATGGCAAAAATTCAAAAATTTGGTTTCAAATTGCTTCCGTATTCATCAGATCTGGTCGGCAGCGACTATTTCCTGTTCTTATATCTCAAAAGAATCTTAGCTGCGAAAACATTTTCGTTGAATGAAGAAAATGATCGCCGAAATAGCGACCGATTTTGAAGCAAAGAGCAAACTATGATATAAAATTGTATCGAAAAGTTGGAGGTCCTTTGAAAGGAACTCCGTTGGGATTTTTGCAACAAAAAAAAAAAAAAAAAAAATGTGTTTCCCTACGGTAGGGGGGGGGGGTTTCATTTTACTTTTTATATACTTGTACATGCCTCATTTAGGGTACAAAAGAGAATATTTTGAGGTGAGAACTTTCGATTGTAAGTTAAGGTCCTTTACTGATATTGATCAAAATATGGGGAAAAAATAAATATTTTGAATAACGAAAATTATAGTATATTTAAATCATAACTGGTTTAGTTTACCTATAATTTATCGTAAAAAAAATATTTGTGAAAAATAGAAAACTTGATTATTTCAAGTTTTTCATTTATGTGCATTTTAAGGTTATATGAAAAAATTTTAACACAACAGTTGTAGATCTTTTGATAAGCTACAAGTTTGCTATGTAAATTTGTTTCTTATGGTCTTTAGTTTGCTGGAAAACGAGATAAACTGCTTTAATACTTACATATTCAACAACTTATTCTGCTCCCTGTTCACACCTCAGATTGCCCATAAATTAGTTTTCAGTTCATTATCATTATATCTTATTTTCCGACGGGTTTTATTCTACTATAATCTTTTTAACTTTTTACCATTTTCAAGGGCTTCACCACTGGCCCATTATCCGGTATTTTTTTTCAATTAATGTATATAAATAGCGTGTGAATTAGCATGCACGTATATATATTTAATTATGATATGCCGGCGTAAAATAATTATAATACCCGCGGCACAGTTCGAACTTAATTCATTCAAAGACTTAAGTACATATAAAAAAAAGGGTGTAAACATATAGACAATTACATATGTGTAAATAAATATAGAAATGTCTCCGTTCTACCTTGACACTGACTTTCGCTTGCAGTCGTTATGTTGATGAACATGTGTGAGTAAGGTAGTGATTTCATTCGCAATGTCAACAACTTAGCATTGAAAATGCATTAATAGTGAGTGTGTGTGTGTACGTGTGCGGGCGTCGCATTGCCAAAACTTGCTTACTGTTATCGCTTCTAATGCAGTTACTCACGTCATAGTATCAACATTTCAAGAGGTTTTGAGGCCTAGGGTGAGTTTGTAACTAAAACCGATTAAATGAATTTCCAAATTTGGCTCAACAGGGTGGGCAAATAAACGAATTTTTAACCCAAATCAATTTTTTTATCGAATTTTTTGTGACGAAATTTTATGATTAAAAGTTCGAGTGAAAGTTAGGAGCAAAATGTCAGTTTTTTTTTAACTTCTGTATTGGGTATTGCCACAGGTTAAAGGTAAATTTATTTTTACGAGGCTGTTGGGAAAATTATTTTGCAGGAATTTTAATTTTAATCGGGAATTTTTTGATTTCGCATTCTACCTTAAATAATTTTTTATGCATTAATCTCATTTTACTTTAAATATTTGGTATTCTTTCACTTAAAGTTAATGAAGCATTGAATTTTGTGTCGAATTTCGGCCATTTTATCGGTTCAATAGCACGTCCACAATATTTTATGACATGGCGTCGCAAAATCCCTCCATGTGGAAATCCCCTCTTGTAAATAAGTATGCCCGTATGCCTACTCACTTCACTTTGTGCAATTGATTCATTGCTCACCATATTTTATTAGCCATGTCTCTTGTTCGTGACCCACAACCGTAAATTTTGAAGGGTTCGAGTGCTTAATGATAGATACTAGCACTTGTATACGTCTATGCTGTGAAAGTGGCTGCCGAGAAAGGGTTGATGGTAGTTGTTTGTTTTGGAAATAAATATTCGAATTGACTTTGACGTCTGCAGTAAGTTGTATTATTGCCGGCTAAATTTAAAAAATTACAACAAAATCTTTGTAAGAATATCTCAATATCTCCAATCCCACTGGTAAATTGAAATAACGGTTTTGAGATTAGACTTGTCTCTA